CTGAAAGCAAGTCAATACCTTTCCGAGGCAGAGGTTTGGGTTTCACCTGCAAGGTCATCGTCTACAACAAAATTACAAAAGAAGCATACATAATTAAGTTCATAACACAAACTGTGTCAAAACCACCAGTGATTTGCACTATTAAGACTTCTACATCCCAACGAACGCTTTTTAAATAAACACCAACTATAAAAATAAGCAGAAAAGGCAGCAAAAAAAAAAAAAACCCCACCACACAAGAATGAAAGTAAAAGCTACTTACTTGAGTTATTCCCATAGGGAAAGGGCCTGATAAGAAAAATAATAAAAAAAATAAACATAAAAAAGTAATCAAAGCTTTACGTAACAAATGATTTAAAATGTAGAACTTAAAATGACAGTTATCAACAATAAATACAGCACAGGCTACCCTTGAAATTGACATTATTCTTGTCTGAAACCAGTGGGCCTGGGAGCAAGATTAGAAGTTGGGCCCTCTGGCGAGTAAATAGGAAAATGTGGTGTGCACAGCGGCAGAATGTGGGTATGTTTCTAACTGCCCTGAATATTGGGTGTGGCTTAAAAAGGCATGGTTAAATAAAGTCTGAATTGATTTACATATAATAGAATTAGTGTTGAATAGGGAACATTAGATGTTGGGTCACCAATAAGTTACTTACTATTGATCCCTGCGTCACCTACTCCTGACCCCTGTATCACTTACAAGTGACCCTTGATCCCTGCATCACTTATGAGTGAACCACTTACTACTGACATCTGAATTCAGTGTCACCTACTACTAACCTCTGATCTCAGCAACACTTACTTCTTACACCTGAACATATAGCACGCATAGAAGATATACCACTGATTTTCAGCATGCAAGTAAAGCAAACATCATCACTACACTATAATTACAGGTGTTTTTTTTTCCTGCTTCACAATACTTATCTATGGCAGAAGCATCCACAAAAAGGGGCTAAAATTCTAATGATTCCACAAGGCACCCTAAATGTTAGCTAAACTACATGAAGATAGGGTGTTCTAAAATGACTATGTGCGAGCACACACACAGGGGTTAGACGGAAAAAAAAAATATGGAAACACTACATGATTTACAGTTGTGAAAGTGATAAAATGTGTTTCACTTTGAAAGCAGAAATGATGTAAGACGCTTTTGCTTCCGCTGTGTGATGAGACACCTAGCTAACAGGTGGGAAGCCTTACTGCTGCAAGTGACTACAGAGCTCAAATCGCAGTCCTGTGATAACCGTAAATGCTTTAAAGTGTATAGGTATACGTTCTTGAAAAGGTGAATCCTTAGATTCAAACAGCAATAAACCAAACTGATACCATTAAAAACGCATATGGAAATTCAAATGTAGATGCCTCACCTTCTAATATTAAAATATATGTTGGATTTGTTATCCAAGATCTGATGTATTGTCTGAATATCATACATGGATGGCTCATTGACTGATATTTCTTCTGGGAGTCCACAGACTGTAACAGCAGTGGGGTCTCTAGTTAACAAGTCATAAGGGATAGGCACTGGAGCGGATGTTCCTAAAGCTTTACCTAATTGAAAATATATATTTATACATTTCAAAAATCAACCATTTAAAATTTGTAAAAAAGAATTAGATATTAGATGAAATCTATTACCACTCAGTGGACACATTTATTAAAATATTTAAAGAGTAGATCTACAATCACAGAAAACATTTTTATTTCAGAAGTTCAACATTCTAATAGCAATACAGGCGTACCTTGGTTTACTAATTTAATTCGTTCTGTGGGACTTTTCGTATTGCGAAAAATTTGTAAACCGAAATGCAGTTCCCTATAGGAATGCATTGAAAACCAATTAATCCATTCCGGAGGTCAGAAAAAAGTAAAAAAAAAAAAAAAAGTCTTATCTGTTCAAAACTCTTTATAAAGTGCACTTTAAAGGCATAAGTACTGTACAGGGACAGGATTAAAATTTAATTCTTAAATTCACTGGAAACCAATTAATGCGTTCTGGAGGTCAGAAAAAAGTAAAAAAAAGTCTTATCTGTTCAAAACTCTTTATAAAGTGCACGTTAAAAGGCATAGTACTGTACAGGGACACAATTAGAGAAAAAAAAATACTAACTGTATTGAAAACCAATTATTCCGTTCATATTGCGAAAATAATTTGTAAACCGAGCCATTATTTTCAATGGATTTTCATTCGTAAACCAAAAATTACGTTAACCATGGTGTTCGTAAACCAAAATATGCCTGTAATAGTTATTTCTGACATTCCAAGCTTACTTAAAAGTATTTTTATATTGTGAGTGCTGCCTGTCTGCTTGCCATCTCTTTCCACAACTGCCTGGATTCCCAGCATGACTTGCAGCTTCTCCTCTGCTCATTGCTTTGGAATAATTTCAAATTTTAAGGACAACACAACCCACAGTACTCCTCCTCTCAGCACAGCTGTAGTTCTGTAAGCAGGCTCTGTGAAATGTGTGACACAAGCAGTACATATTCACAGGACATAGTGAATGAGTGTTGCTGCATCCAAGGAAGGACATGTGTGGGATCATTCATAAAATAAGTTTGTAAAATTCAAGCTCATTCAGATTAATAGTAGTAGGCTAGAAATAATTGAAACACAATGTAGTGCAGGGGTCCTCAAACTGTGGCCTGCCGAGGACATTTATCCGGCCCGCCGGTGTAGCGGCAAGATCAGTTCCCCCATGAAGATGTGTCCCTGATGCATCTGCGCATGTCACAGTTTCAGTGGCGATCAAGCATTCTTGCCGCTACACCGGCAGGGGCGTATTTGCCACTTGGCTCTGCCTCCTCACCGATGATTGGGTGCCAGAACTGTAGCTCAGGAAAGGCACACAGGCGGCCAATCACCTGCGAGGAGGCGTTTTTTTATTCTGCTCTGAAATACACTTTAACACTGCAAGTGACCTACCATAGCAAAAGCACTGGTGTTTCTTTTACAATGAATGGAGCACTGACATTTGAAATAACATTTTGTGTAGAGCTGTTAATTTGGAGTATTCAGAGACATTGCTAAAACAGAACATACATTACCGTAGCATACACAGAACAAGTCCTCCACTGCTTTCCAGAGATATTCAATATGTGAATGCTCAGATTTTAATCTAGATCTCTTAGTTACAGATTCTGAAACACAATTTTTATCCAAGTTGCCTGTAATTAAAACAAAGAAAGGGCGTTAGACATTACTGTTACAACACAAATTAAGATGGTGACAGCACATTAACAGAAAGAGTGGTGAATACTTTACAATATTTAGCTGTGCAATCAAATGAAAAAGAGGGGTGGTGGTGATTAAAAATACAGAACTATATTAACAATATAGAGAAAAAGGCTCCCAAATTCCGCATTTTGATTCACTGCTGAAAAGAACAGTTAATTAGAAAATATTTTTCCAACACAGCGCACCACAATGCACAGTAGTGCATTACCATGTGCTGCAATACAGGCATGTGATTTTAGTGAGTTAGAGCGACATTAAAAATTATTGGCACCTCCATGCACTAAGGCATCTAACATGCATTGCTGCATCTTAATGATGAATAGACCACATGTATTTAGCTCCTTTTCTGCAAAATCCCTACATAAGCTCTCATGCAACCAATACCCTTTCGACCTCATTTACACTTGCAGTTGGGGGTAGTAAAAACATGCAGTTGTGATATGTTTTTAAAACCCCCTCCCCATCCCAACCGTTCCCCCTTTAAAGATCATTTCACCTTCAGGAACATGTTACATCATCCACTCATATTTATGGTGGAACATGTTACGCTCCAGCTCCCACCATCTCCCCCACCAATCCCACCCTCAGTGTGACAGCAGTTGGGGGGGAGGGGGAATCTTCTCCCCACATCCACGGTCACAATTCAAAATCAGAATGGCCGTTTGGGGCTCTGCACATATGATTACATCATTCATTCACAGTTTCCTGTAAATTAATGATTGAATTAAAAGCACCGTCAGTCACCGCAGCAGACAGCTTGTAGTTCTGAATGAACTGCGAGGGGGCTGATGAGTGCCCTTATAGTTCATTCACAAGCACTGCAACTTTCAAACTAACAGCCCGTATGAAGGTATGGGTGGAAAGCTGCAGGCCTTATCTGCAGAAGCTTGACACTGCACCCCCAATCCAATGATCATGGGTGCAATGCTCTCCAGGCTCCTGCAGGTAAAAATAATAAATGCATTTTTTCTGCAGAAATATGTGCATTTATTATTTTTAATAAAAAGGTTGAACTTACCCTGCATAGATAGCGGACAGAGATATACACATGCCATGGCAAAAACTATCGTCACGTTCAGCGACCACTTCGAATGGTGCGGGTTCTTAGGGATAACATATAACACTTCCTCATTGCCTGTCAAATGCCCTCAGATTGCTTTTCGGAGGGCGAAACCAGTGTAAACATACAGCCACCTGTATGCAATTAAAGTAAATCTGTGCTTTGCACGAGTGTGGTAAGGCTGGCCATACATTATACAATTTTCCTATTCAATTTCCTTTCTATTTACCCAACAACTATGTTGTGTAAGGTCCTGCCAAATTGAGTGTTTTTAGGTTTGACCTCATATTACCGTATTTTTCGCTCCATAAGACGCACTTTTTCCCCCCAAAAAGGGGGGGAAAATGTCAGTGCGTCTTATGGAGCGAATATGGAGAGGCCGGCCCGGTATTTCCTCCGCCGGCACCGTGTCAGAATACCGGGCTGGCCGCTCAGCTCTTCTCTGCAGCAGGACCTTACCTGTTCCTCGGTCCAGCGCTGTACAGTCTTTCCGCGCCGGCAGCTTTAGTGTAGGAACCCGGCTGTTGACAACCGGGTGCCAACTGCGCATGCGCGAGAAGCGCTGAGCTTTGTGAATGGTCCGGCGTCTTCTGGGACCTGTCACAGCCGGATACCCACACTAAAGGGAGGACAACTCTGCGAAAGTGGGAGCGGGTACCTGTCAAATTCAGGTACCCGCTCCCCCTCCCTCCCCAAAGATCCACAGTCTCTGGTCATCTCCTGTACTGTGTCCGCAGTCTCTGGCATCCCTGTACTGTGTCTGCAGTCTCTGGTCATCTCCTGTACTGTGTGTCCGCAGTCTCTGGTCATCTCCTGTACTGTGTCCGCAGTCTCTGGTCATCTCCTGTACTGTGTCCGCAGTCTCTGGTCATCTCCTGTACTGTGTCCGCAGTCTCTGGTCATCTCCTGTACTGTGTCCGCAGTCTCTGGTCATCTCCTGTACTGTGTCCGCAGTCTCTGGTCATCTCCTGTACTGTGTCCGCAGTCTCTGGTCATCTCATGTACTATGTCTGCAGTCTGTTCATCTCCTGTACTATGTCTGCAGTCTCTGTTCATCTCCTGTAGTATGTCCAGGGGCCTATTTACCACAAGGAAAACAAGGTACTTTCCTAGGGCGGCATTTTTCAGGGGGGCAGCACCTCCCCCTAGAAGAAGGGATGAAAGAAGGGTCATGTGCACCATGGGAACCAGGTGGGATCCAAGAGAGGATGCGGGCTGTTTGATGGTGTATGTAGAGCCTGGCTCTCACTCCCGTGGATGTCCAGAGCTGTGAAGATGAGTGTCTCTATCGCCAGGGGGGGTTAGTGGAAGGCTCTCCCAAGTGGGGTGTAGGGGGGTGTTGTTGGTCAATGTCATTTCTCTTTCCGCGGGAGGGGGAGGGGGGGGGGTTGTGTTGGTCGGTGTCCATGTGGGCAGACGATTTTTGTTTTGCCTAGGGCAGCACAAAATCTAAATACACAACTGAGTATGTCCGCAGTCTCTGGTCATCCCCTGTACCGTGTCCGCAGTCTCTGGTCATCTCCTGTACCGTGTCCGCAGTCTCTGGTCATCCCTGTACCGTGTCCGCAGTCTCTGGTCATCTCCTGTACCGTGTCCGCAGTCTCTGGTCATCCCCTGTACTGTGTCCGCAGTCTCTGGTCATCCCCTGTACCGTGTCAGCAGTCTCTGGTCATCTCCTGTACTATGTCCGCAGTCTCTGGTCATCTCTTGTACTATGTCCGCAGTCTCTGGTCATCTCCTGTACTATGTCTGCAGTCCATTGGTTCAGAATATTTTTTTTCTTGTTTTTCTCCTCTAAAACCTAGGCGCGTCTTATGGAGCGAAAAATACGGTATATGGTTTTGGTAAATCTAAAAGGAATATTGCATAGGAAATTGTATAATGTATGACCAGCCTAAAACAGGTTTACTTACCCTCTTGCCTTTTTCCTTCATCCCCTTGAGTCCCTGAGAGTTTTTTGGGCATGACTTAGTTCTGCAGTTTATACCTTTTGTAATATACACCATTTTTTGGGGAGGAGAACAGGCTTTTATTTTTTTAGCAGATTTGGTTACCTATATTTTTATTTCCCTAGTTTGTACTCAGGACAGAAAAAATTTTTCCCCAATGCAGCATTTAAGAATTCTGTATTTCCTGACCCGCATATAATTACTCTAACATATAATCAACAAAGTCTGCCGATTACAGTAATATCAATGAGACTTTTATGTAACGTAGCAGAACGGTGAAGCCCAAGGCTCTGTTTAGATCAGCAGAGGATCTATCCACTGTTCCCCTGCTCAGCAGAGCAGGTGGATGACAGGTCCATGTTTGCTCTGTTTGTGCAGAACGGACACAGACAGAGCCCTCTGTGCTCTATGGGGCGGCTGGGTGTATACAGACTTCATTGTCCCTTAACACCCAAATGCCCTCCAATCCACATAGATGGAGGGGGACAGATCTCCTATTTCTTTTTTTTAGCGGCCTGCATCAGACCTTTTGCAAGAAAGGAGCCCAAATTGAACATACAGCATGTGTTTTACTTTAAAGAAGTTTTATTTTCCCATTTCAGCACTATTTTGAATTGCAAGCAGGAAACAAGGAAGGACTGCATAAATTGTTAGTGAAACATTAGATAAGATTATGTCGCGTTGACGAGGGCTCAATTTAACATAACAGTGGTGACTTTCACACAGATGTGCAATTGCTTTTTGTGTTCACTTTATTATCCAGATCACATAGCACTACTATTGCAACTTTATATTTACGAGATATTTCAATATATATCTATCTCTCTATAGATATCTTACACACACACTTATTTTTCTATTATTTTAACCTTTTCTTCTTCATGGTCTGGATTTAGTTAGTGAATACTGGATCCAAACCCCTCTCATGCAGCTGTACAACAGTAGAAGCTGTAAGTTTACATTCTCTTCTACATTGTGCGCCTATAAAGCAATCTGTAGAAAGAATTAAAGCTCAGAAGCTGATTTTTTCACTAAATGCCACAGGAACTACTGAGTCCACGTACCATTTTAAAATGGTGCTGGAAGTAATACCCATTGTCCCCGTGGCATTTAGGACTCAAGTGATTAAAGTGTACATAAATACCAACAATGAACTTCTCTTATATGCTCCATTTTGGTCTGCTAAAGATACCATTAAAGCAGTTATTAAACCAAAAAAGCAAACATTATATTGCAGCTTGCCAATTCTCCAGCAAAATGTATCAGTTTATATGGATGAAACAAACTACTTAACACTTCCAGGGATGATTAAAATGATCAACTTTTATTTACTCATATAATGCCTTTATCCCAAAAAGAAAAAAATGGTTTGCTGTAACTGATTATAAAGGGTGAGCTGGTTTGAATTTGTTTAGCGTACTTTAGTCTACTAGTACATATAAACACACCCCTCCTCCCAGACCAACAATGCTGCTCACCTGCTGTGCCTCCTATGCTCATTCATTTAGGAGTTGTGTCTCACTAATACAGGAGATGTGTTACAGGCCAGATCACCAGGTGAAAAGAAGCCAAAGAAAAGAAAACTGATGTAGCCACCACATCTAATGATTGGTAAGCTGCAATAAAATACATTTTGGTTTTAATACTGCTTTAAAGCGTTTAAAATACATGCCAATTTTGCCATACCTCTTGTGAGCGAATAAATTTCTGTGCTCTCTGCCTGTGAACAAGGAGAAGATAAGGAGAGTGCTGTGCTCTTTGTAATCCATCAGAAATGAAGTAGGCAGGGCTGGCATTTAGGAATTCAGAGCCCTGTTATGCCAAAGATGAATGGTGGAAGTACACTATAGGGTTGGTTTACTAAAACTGGAGAGTGTGCAAAATCTGGTGCAGCTCTGCATGCTAGCCAATCAGCTTCTATCTTCAGCTTCAATCAAGCTCTGCCAAAAAAAAAAAAAAAAACAACTGGAAGCAGATTGTTTTCTATGCAGAGCTACATCAGATTTTGAACTCTCCAGTTTTAGTCAATCAACACCTATATGTCTGGCATGTCAACAGTTATTTTTCTATACTTGCAGCATGTTTGACCTCGTCGACTTTGCTATAGGCAACTACAGCACGGTTATCCAGTTCTGGAAGGGTGCCCATGGATGTCCCCTGGGACACACATCGGGTGCAATCTGACTGCTGTGTCTTTTGGACACAGCTGATCACTGATCAGGGAAAAGGGCCAATCACAGCGGCCCTTTACCATGTGATCAGATGTGTCCAATCACAGCTGATCACATGTAAAACAGACTTGCCGATTATCGACAGTCTTTTCCTTATACACTGGGATTTATTTACTAAGGCTGGCCATACATTATACAACTTTCTTGAGAATTTTGCTTTAGATTTATCTAAAACCATAGAATATGAGGTCAAACCGAAACAACACTTTCAATTATATCCAAATAGGCAGGTCCTTGCACTACATAGTTGAAGGTAAATCTAAAGGAAATCGGGCAGAGATTGGACAGAAAATTGTATAGTATATGGCCAGCCTGACAGGTTTTATAGCGAAGGTTTAATTGAACAAGTTGAGGTTAGAAGCTGACTGGCTACCATACACAGCTGCATGAGATTCCAGTGAACCGGCTTTAGCAAATCTCCACCCCCCCACCCACTGTGTCTGTGTGAGGTAAGGAGAGGCAATAAGCAGCAAGACTGTCAGTACATTATTTACATGGGTAATCAAGGCACTAATCAGTGCCCTGATTAGTGCCCATCAGTGCAATCTGACCAGTGCCTCCTCATCAGTGCCGCCTATCAGTGCAGCCTCAGCGCACAACAGGGAAAAAGAAAAATGACTTATTTGCAAAATTTGAAATACAACAGAAACTAAGAAAAACTTTTTTTTTTTAATTTTCAGTCTGTTTAAAAAAAAAAAACAACAACAACAAAAACCCAGTGGTAATTAAATACCACCAAAAGAAGGTGCCATCTAAAAATGATAAAAATTTCATACAGATACAGTGTTGCAAGACCATGCAACTGTCATTCAAAGTGTGACAGCGCTGAAAGTTGGCCTGTGCAGAAACGGGGTGAAAGTGCCCAGTATTGAAGTGGTTGAAGAGATAAAAAAGGGGGCATGTGTTCCATGTAAGCAATATATATTTTGCCTTGCTATACCTTTAATGCCTAGACCTGCCTCTAAATAAGCTAACCTTTCCCTTGCTCCTTTCCTGCCCTGTCTGACAGCAAAAAATGTAGGGTAATTCTGGGTATTGAAATTATGTTGGCAATTGCCCAGCACTATCACATGGGGGCTCAGCCCTGTGTAATCTCTTCCTGGGATCCAGCTTGAGCTTACAAAAGAGCTTCCCCTGATGGCAAACAAAAGGGAAGATGAGTATTAAAGAGATAGTAAAACACTGCTTGGATACTTGTACCTACAGATAAGCTGTTAAAAAAAAGCATACCTGTAGGCACATGGAATATCTCTCAAATGTGCACCAATTAGGAGATATTCACTGTTTCTGAAGTCAGTTACGTCACAGGCGAATGCACTCTGAAGGGACAGCCTGCTCATGCCGTCTCTTCAGAGCTCTGTTCTGCTGCCATGTCTCCCATGTGAATGTGCAGGGGTGATGTAATTGTGGTTGGGCTATTCAATGGTCAGAGCCCCTTAACCCAGAAGGAAGGCTGAGTGAAGCTGGAAGCCCTGTCAGCAGTGACAGGGTGCCACTGGAGGGCTTTGTTTCAAGGTAAGTCTTTTATAATATGCTATCAAAAAAGTGTCAAAAATATCTAGTGAGGGCAAAGAAAAAGAACTAGTGAATGAGCAGCTAGCACAAAGCGGTAACCCTTCCTAAGTCCACTAAAAACAGAAACATATATAGAAAGTGTAGCGCTTATGTCCAAAGCATATGAATAACACAAAAATTATTCCTGTGTAAACTTATATAGGAAGTAATTATACAAAAAAAAAAAAAAAAAAAAAAAAAAAAAAATATATATATATATATATATATATATATATATATATATATATATATATATATATATATATATATATATATATAAATAAAACATTAACTTAAATCATAAATAAAGTCCAGAAAGTGCAGTGTCCAATGGTGTTGTAGAGATCAATCATGATCAGTGACATAAGGTGACATCTGTGAAGAGTGCATCTGTGACAATTCTCCACCACTATGGACTCACCAGAAGTAAGAGGCAACTAGGCTCTGTACAGAAATCCCTCCGAAAGATGTAACCTTTTCACTGCAGGGATAGATGGCCAAATATCTGTTTTGCCTCAAAACAAAGTGTTTTTAACAAAGTGTTTTTACTACAATCGCTCACTAATACACGGATTAGGCTTAATAAATATTAAAGCAAAACATGATTTATTGAATAAGTTCTGTTAGTATAATAACAAAGGAATTGTCAGATGCAAATCATATTTAGATCATATTATAGCAAGAAAAAAGCATCAATACATCACCGGATTTTGTAGCATCACCCGTTACCCAACGATTGGGGAACTTCAGCAATCAGCAAAGGGGAATCTGGGAAATCACCGCAAGGCACGTCTGCCGTGTCTTCAAGTCCCAAATTCCCCTAGAATCCACCGTCTTTTATATACATAATTTGCAGTGTCCTTGTCTACTGCCATGCGCAGTAGACTCTGTTTGTGTATCTATTGTGACTATTAACCTTGACCTGTTCCG